AACCTCCTCATGCACGAGGAGGCCATAGATCCAAACACCGCCTCAATCTGGGAAAGCAAGGTGCCAAACAAAGTTAAGGTGTTTGGCTGGCTACTATTCCGCAATCACCTCGACACCAGGCTAAATCTATTCCTTATGACTCTCAAGCTCCTGCCCGAGATGCCAACTGCGCATCTATTCCTCCACTGCCCTTTTGCCACATGGATTTGGCAGCGCCTAGGTATCGATCAGCATTAACAGGATATCAATACTATTTGGGAGGTGCAACCACCTATACCTCTGCCAGCAACAGTAGGGCATACCGCACTCCTTAACGCCCTATAGAAGATTGGGGATGCAAGGAATGTGTGCGTCTTCTGCGACATTGATCAGCTCTACTACTGTCCGGAATTTGTTAAACAACTTTACTCTGTGGCCGCATCAGTTTACTAAGCCGGCTCACAAGGTAGCCATCGATTCAAAAAAAAAGTCTATCATTGATACACAATGGTAATCAGCAATCACTGAAAAAGTTAACAGGTAGCAATCACTTTGACACAATATTAGCAGTTGCCAACTGATATTTACCTTCCACCCAGATGCCCAATGTAGACAAGGACACTTATGAGTCCCCCTGAGCCAACAATTCTGCTGGCAGCTTGTAGTGCCAGCTCAGTTGTCTCAGGTACTGTGATTGTTTTTTTATCTCCTCCTGGAAGGTAGCCCAGATTGAATGCTACAAGCCTAAAAGTACATGTTCAAGATCATAGTTACTTTAACTGCCAATTTCATGAGAATGTAGCAGTGATATCGGTGATCTTATGTGAGTATTTGCTACAACATAATAATCCTACGCGTGGGCTACCTCGGTGGCCTTGCGCTTGCCGGCGACGAAGCCCACCACCGCCTCCTCCACCCCTGCAACCAATCCCAGTCAAGACATCGCGCGGCGGGCACGCGTTATTGAAGGGTAAGATAGATAATACGAACCTGCGGCGATGAGCGGGTCGGCGAGCTGCACGGCGGAGTGGTGCCGCCGCTTAGGCAGAGGGCTAAATCTGGGGATCCGTCGGAGGGGAGATGGAGTTTGGGAGCGGCGGAGGAAAATAATCCTTCTCAAAGGAAACTAACAAGAGAAACCACATAAGGTAGTCCTCACTCAAACCAGCAACAAGTTTTACAGTTTCCTGCAGTTGCATACCCCATGGCTGTCGACGGACATTTTCAGAAAAAAAGAAGTGCTATCTATCGCGGAGTCTTGGATGTCCAATCCATAGACACGCCCTCGCCCTGTTTCGTCGGCCAACATCTTGAGCAGAGCGAGCGTATCGTTGCCATTCCCGCAGGTGGCATCAACCACTGCATCTCCTTTCCGAACGATACTTCTCCACACCCGTCTAGTCAGACAAGAACGTTACAATTAGTAACCTTAGCACCACCCAAGAAATAGCTTCAAACACATCTTGTTTGAACGAATTCTGCAAAGGAATCCACATTAATTATTTTACTTGCAGGGCTGTAAATTGGAACATACATAGCACTAACACAGCATTTCGAGATTGCTGCCCTGCTAGAAGGTGATTCAGGTTGAAAAGGTAACGCTTTCAATTTCAGCAACGGAAAGGAAGCAGGGTTAAGTTAGGCAGTACAGGACGAGGACGCAGGGACGAGAAGGAAGCAGAGTACCTACGCGTGGGCTACCTCGGTGGCCTTGCGCTTGCCGGCGACGAAGCCCACCACCGCCTCCTCCACCCCTGCAACCAATCCCGGTCACGACATCGCGCGGCGGGCACGCGTTATTGAAGGGTAAGATAGATAATACGAACCTGCGGCGACGAGCTGCGCGGCGGAGAGGTGCCGCCGCTTAGGCAGAGGGCTAAATCTGGGGATCCGTCGGAGAGGAGATGGAGTTTGGCAGCGGCGGAGGAGTAGGGAGAGAGGAGGGCGCAACAGTGACGGCGGAGGCATGGCTGCTACGCCGGCGGCGGCTGAACCCCGGATGTAGAGGGTAAAAAAAAACGATAGGCCAGGTTCAGATTTGCTCGATTCACACCTGATGATTCAGGTGCAGATGCGACGACCCAAGTTGTCGCTGAGCTTTTCATCAATACGATGGCCATTTTATGGGTGGGATGATAGAGTTTCGAACTCTCAGTTCTGGGTCACTCGCAACTTTAGCTACGAGACCAAGGAGCTAGCCAACTGCGCCACCATCCCTTGGCGTTTTAGCTGCGAAGCAAACATCCTTGTTAATAAGAGCATCTCAAACGCAGGACCCCCTCCCGACCACGGGCCAGTCCGGACGTGTTTTTTCCCGCACACCAGAGGTAAACTAGGATTTTGCGGGCGTCCGGACCGCTCCCACGCTCATTCCTGACTACCCTGGTCCACCAAAAAACCTTCCGCCCCCACCTCGGTTAGCTCGGTCAGTGAAAATCCTACGCGATCTCATTCAAACCGCTCAAACCCGTAGTGGATATGCTATGTTTGGTCCCAAGTCAAAGCCTAGAAGTTGATTTGATGCCTAAATCAAGTTCGTGAATGATATAATCGATGTGTAAATTGAATGCAACCATGGTAATATTGCATAGCGATGTCATCGGGGACAGAGGGCTTACCGCCATTAACAAATGCTCGCCTAAGCGATGATGAAGCCGGTGCTCGCCGTGTAGATCTTGGCTCTGTTGCTCGCTGTCCAAATCTTGTGCTTGCCATCGCAATTGTGAGAGAGGAGAGCGGGGAAAGTTAGCGGTGACGGGATTTACGGTGCCGCCTTGGGGAACAATCTCTCACGTGTTCCCGCACGTGCAGCCACCTCTACTCACGTGTCTCGAGTTGCATCGCTCGGGTCTGACACTGGAAAATTGGTTGATTTGATCATTTCTCCAGAGTCAGGCTTAGAGATGCTTTAAGGTTCGTGCAGATCAAGAGTCTGGTGTACCTCAGGTAACCAAAAGGGCCAAAATTGCATCCAACGGGTCTGCCTGAGGCTAATGCAGGCGATCAAATGTATCCTAGCTACTTGCCCCTTTTGATGTGCTCAAAAAAAAAAAAAAACTTGCCACCTTTTACATCATAGGTCCCCGTTGGAAAAGTCGCCAGAGTTTGGCACTTTTCCTTTTCTCTTTTTGACGAAAGAAAGCAGCGCCGTTTTCATTCATTATTAATAAGAGAAAAGCGTACAAAAGGGTAAAGTGAGTAAATCTGAACGATTGAACCACATCGAAAAAAAAACATATAAGACAACCACATTGAGCTACAGGGTGACACAAAAGAAAGAAAAGAGTTTTGGCACCACGACATTCGACATATAGGAATAGTTAACGCGGTTAGCACGCAGGTTTGGCATGACAGGGGACCAACGGATGCAGAAAGATCAAAGGGAACGGGCATTTTAATTATAGACTGAAAAGCACATGCATGCTTTGCTCTCCATTTCCATGCACACGTTGGGACACAGACTGCTGCTATATATCTCCCGTTCCACTGGACAAGTTGCACCTCAGGCCAAACAGACATACACGAGTGTGGAAACGCATAGGCGCGCACGTAACACCGATCCATACCGGCCTTCCGTGCTAAGCGCATCTCCAACAAACGCCCAATATTAACGTCACGTCCAAAAAATCACAAGTTTAGCGCGCGCGGAGTTAAAAGTAGCACTTTAACGAACGCGGCATAATAAAGCACGTTGTAAAAAGTGTTGAGCGCGCCTGAAGAAACTGGACCAGAAGCTGGATATTTGGGGCGTGAGCTCCCGCGCGCTGAACTTCTCCCGTGCGCTGAACTCCTCGCGTGCGCCTGCCGGTAGCCTCCTCGTGTGCGCGCGCCAGCCGACCACGGGCGGCAGGGCGCGGGTGCGGCCACGGCCATGACGGCGGCGTGACCGGGGAGGAGGGCGGCCACGGCAGGGCGGCGCGGCCACGGCCACGGGCGGCGGCGGGCAGGGGAGGAGCACGGGCGGCGGCACGGCGGGGCGGAGCAGGCCACGGCGGGGCGAGCGCAGGCGGAGCAGGCCACGACTGGGCGAGCTCGAGCGCGGCCACGGCGGGGCGAGCTCGGGCGCAGCCACGTCGGGGCAAGCGCGGCCACGGCGGGGCCAGCGCGGGCACGGGCGCGGCCACGACCATGGCGGTGAGCATGCCACGGGCGGCGGCCCGTGGCCATGACCATGGCGGCGAGCATGCCACGGGCGGCGAGCTGGGTACGAGCGCGTGTGGTTAATTTTGGGCGTCTGCTGGAGATGTCACCGTTGCTAGCTGGACAGTATATTTTTGGCGTCTGCTGGAGATGTTCGATCATGCGGCGCGCTAAAACACTATTTTGACGCTGTAAAAAAAATTTAGCGCGCGGCTTTGTTGGACGCCTGTTGGTGATGCTCTAACATTGTGGACTGCAGTTTGGCTGGCTCGCCAGTATAGTATGTAGGCCGGCTGCGGCCGGTGCCTCCTTTTTCTGTACAATGCATGTCCGGAGCTTCAGATGTTATAACCTCACTAGAATTGTGCTGTTTAAACTTGATGTCACACAAACAACCTAACTTAGAAACAAACGACACGGCCATACCAATCATGGACACTGCATTACTGTGCTGTGCTGACGGGGCCAGTGATAATGATTTAAAAAACACAAACATAAACTGATTATTAGTACAACCCCGGGCCTGTGACAAGTAGACGATAGATTAATACAGCCCAGCTTGTTTCATAGCGTGGCGATCGGGCAGAGATCCAGTGACATGCCCATGAAATGTCACCGTGGTAACATGCCACCATGGTAACATGCCGTTGGATCAAGGACAAACAGCCCAGATCAGCTACCGTATCAGAAAGTACTGCAGACACACACTAGAGACGTGTTGTTCTTGGGTTCCTGTAGACTCACGCTGTAGCATGCGTACTGTAACCATGTATTGTTCGTATTGATCCATCCGTTGATTCTTGATCTGACCATTTGAAGAGGGCAAGTCTTAAGGTGGCACCGGCTAGTGGAACGCGATCAGTAGCATGGCGGTCTGGTGTTCAGATCGTGATGCCGCCGGCGCTGGACTGGTCGTCGTCGTTGTCCTCTTCGAGGATGGAGGAGTAGACGGTGTAGGACAAGGCGAGGCCGAAGGCAACCATCAGGATCCACCCCAGCAGGTCGTGGCTCAGCCCGGTGCCGTCGGTCGGCACCCGCTCGTCCACCAGCGCCAGAACCAGCGCCGGGGCCAGCACCGGGGCGGCCGCCACCGCCATGGCGCTCGCCTCGGCGAGCAGCGGCGCGCCCTTGGCCACCGCCAGAGCCAGAGCCGAAGAAGCCTTATTCTTGAGGTCCTTGGAGCAGCTGCACCTTAGCCTCGCGGCCTTGGCCACACTCAGCCGAGGCAGCCCTGCATGCGGCATCTCATTGTCAGTTAGCAACTTAACATGTTGCACATGGTCGGCATTTTTGCGGGGATGACAAGCTTTTTACTTACCTAGAGACCGCGGCGGTCCGGCGGCGACGAAGACGGCCGTGGCGCTGATGGTTGCCATTGCTATTGCTCGTAGATGTGTAGCACTCTCTGATCGTAAGAGAGCCAATTACTTGTGGGTGTGTGTCCAGGCAGAGGCAATCCAGTATATATATTGCATCATCATGGTTCATGGGTCACTAGCTACTTGCCACCTTGGACATCACAGATTCCTGTTGGATATTTCGCCAGAGATTGGTAGGCAACACGTACTGTCAAACGAATCCAACCACAACCAGCCTGACTCCCGGAAGAAGCAACTGTGGACGCTGGGCGTCAGGTATATTCAGCACGGTTGGCAGGCAGGGTACACACAGCAAGAGCGCTACAGATTTGGCACGACAGGGACCAATGGACGACGGAAGACAGATAACAGAAATGGTGGAAATAGTACAACTGTTTGATATTTTATTCACACCAGGAGCATTTGAGCTCAAGATGAGAAAGAGACTTTGTGGGACGCGGAGTATCTACTCGCAAGCTTATATGCTCCTGCATGAACCATAAATTAGAAAGTATAAGTAAAAACTTAAGATTTTCAGTGTTGGGCCGGCTTGGTTGGGGGTTTAGTCCCACCTCGCAGAGCGGCGAGGAGCCACGCGGCCGGCTTAAATAGCCGAGTCCTCCCAAAGCGGTTAGCTTTGGTCATCAACATATCCTTTCGGAAGGTTGAGACTGTCACTATGAATTTTCTTTGTTAATAAACAGAGAAGATACATCATGACTGTCCATGTTCCTTACAATTACAAAGCAAGCATTGATAACCTTGCTTAATTTGTTAAAAGTTAATAATCATTTTTGGCATCTGAATCTGAACCCGAGAGGGTGCATCGATGACCATATCTTTTAAGTCCGGTGGTGCTGACCTTTAGTAGCATCTGAATCAGAGTTAACGGTCAATGGTTTGACCCAACGGCATCCTCCGTTGTGACCATTCACAAGTTTCGGACAAGGGAGTGGGAAAAAATGAGCACAATTTAAGAGCGTGCGGATGAATGAGTAGAGCTAAGGAACCAGTGGCACAGAAATAAAAATCCCAATTATTTATGCCCATCTTATACGTATTGTTACTTACTATTCAGATATTGGTGTCATATTGCTTCTATGTGTTGTCATATGTCATATATTATTCTCATATTCTTCGATTGTCGTATGTCATATATAGTTCAGTTGTTAAATGCCATTGTATAATGACATGAATAGGTACTAATAAACTTCATAGTTCAATTGTCATATATGTCATAGTTCAGTTGGTCCTAGTTGTAGTTGTCATGGCCGACTTGTTATTATTTTGTAGTTGATGTAAGATGACTTCCTACAACAACCAGGAGGAGGTATATGATGTGGACATGCTCAACCGCCAGCTCATAGAGTCTCATAAAAATGCCATCAAGTCCCTAAAGGAGGTGAATGCCTCGCTGAAGGCGCGGAGAGGGATGAGCTACTCGACAAGAGGACTGACCTCTTCAGTAAGACTCTTAGGCTGAGGGACCAGAAGGATCAGCTGATCAAGGAGAGGGCTAAGCTGAAGAATGAGAGAAAGCTCCTCGGAGAGGAATGAGCTAAAGGTGGAGAAAGATCATTTCCAAAAAGAGGAAGAGAACAATAGAAACAAGATTCGACAGTTGAAGTTAACCCTTGAACAAGAAATGTGATTGACCACCTGGCATGCTAGCTATGGATGATGTAGTTTGGTTGTTGAATTGTCAAGTTGAACTAGTTTAGTTCTCTTTACCTACTAACTTTTGAACTAGTAAAGTTGATGAGTACCTATCTAGTTTGTGGAGTTGAACTAGTTGATGCAGTAGTACATCTTAAATTAGTTCATGGTTTACATATCTTCTTAACCATGTCTCTTGTAAAGTGGATTTTCTTGTGGTCACTAAGTTCCCCTCTTCTTTTCCAGGATAATAGCCTGGAAAAAAAAATCCTACAGCATTAAGTTCCTAAAACACATCAAATACAGTGCAAAAAATTCAGCAGCACGTCTAAAATCAAACCAAAATGTATGGAAACATCCACTTAAAAATTCCTGCAGCACATCAAATCTAGTGCAGCACATCAAAACTCTACTCAAATGTGCTCGGTAATGCATGTATAAAAAATTTCAGAACTCTCCAACGCATGTACGAATATCCAGGCCAGCAACCGCTCTACTAACACCGAGACCCCCTATCCATACTACATCGGCGACATCCCCTCCTACACCGGCAACCATTCTCGTACATCACCGCCGAACCATCACCATAAAGGGAGCCCACTACGAGTGCCGCATAGCCGCCGGGGATAGCACAAACTATTATGCAGGAAGAGTAGAGGAAAAAATTGCAAGGGAGAACACCATCAGCACCTACCAAAATCGGCTAGAAATTGGGGCGAGGGAGGAGGATATCCGATCCGTACCTGCTTGAGTCGCCGCCGGCCACCACTAATCCCAAACCCGTTGTCGTCGGCACCGCGGTGGACATGTCCTGGTCGCCCAACGCTCTAAGCCGCCGCCCCCGCCACCCTCCCAAATCCAGCGGTCGTCGCCCTCCCAGTCACACGAGTCAACGCAGCTGTGGGTAGGCCAAGCTGCGGGAAGTAACCTCCTTTTGTTGGCCAGTTGCAAAAATGGTTGTCTGAAACAATAGCAGAGTTGCAGAAACGGACGTGGGTGCCGCGGATGCGGGGTCACTCTCGTTCGTCTACGAAGCCAGCGGACGTGCGCGCTGATTGGTCGGCTGGAGGTAAGCTTTTCCCTTTCTCTATTTGAGGAAAGAAAGCATAGCCGTTTTCATTCATTCATTAATAGGAGGAGAAAAGCATACAAAAGGGCAAGGTGGGTTACATCCGAACGACTGAACCGCATCGAAAAAAGAGCAAATAACCGAACCACATTGAGCTACAGGGGGACACGAAAGAAAGAAAAAGAGTTTTGGCACCACGACGTATAGGTATAGGAACTAGCACAAATGCCCGTGCGTTGCAACGGTAAAGTAAATCAATATGTTTCCATCGAAAAGTTCACCAAAGTGGCACGAGGGCATCTTTAAATATTACTCTCTGTTACAATCCCATGAAATATTGTTTCTCGGACACAACCCACAATCCCATTTAAATATATATCCAGGTCCGTAGACCATCTAGCGTCGACTACAAGCACTGAAACAACAACTGCCGCTGATAAAGAAAAGCGTAGATTGGAAGAATTCAACTTATAGGCACACTGACATAGACAAAGAAAGAGCGGATCCAAGCTGATCCACGGAAGACAAACACCGACCAAATCCCACGATATCTATCGAAGAACTACACACGTCCTTCGATGATGCTAGAAGCATCATCATGGCGGGGATCTTCAGGGAGCCGCCACCGCCTCGTCTTTCTAAGTAGGACATGAACCCTACCAAAACGAAAAAATACCTAAAAACAAAGCCCTCCTGCCGGCAAGGACCGTGATCCATAGGAGACGAGGCGGCATGGCGGCTACACAGCAGGAGGCAGCGGAAACCCTAGGCTTTTTGTGTCCTCCTCTATTTATCTCATGCAGCCCCCAATCCAAGTTAATTCTTGCGGATTACTGTTTGTTTGTTGCTTCTCCAAGTGGCTGGTTGTTTGTACAAGCACCTCACGCAAGTATATAAATTGGTCAGATTTTGTGTTAAAAAGTGAGGTGGGACTATTTTATTAGGAAACAAACCTGTTTCTCGCATAGTCATCAGCTTATTTTTAGACAAGCATAATCGTCAGCTAGCTTTGGCTACATTGTTCTTTTGCTTGGTATAGTTAGTTAGTCTTTTCAGAAACATATCGCATAGTTAGATGGCCGTGAGATCGAACAACCATGCAAGCAGTAGTATTTTTTTATATATATATTCTGAAAGACCACCCATATACTCGTAGCCCACAAGAGAAAAATTATTAGAAGGCCCACTTGCTTGCTTGGCTCCTGGCCCAGTACGTACCGATGGAGCGATCGATCTTAAAACAGCGATACGAAGTTACGAACCACCTCCTCGCCGCCTCGTACATGACGTTAGTACCACCTCGCTACCTCGTACGTGACCAAAACTTACAGTAGAAAAAAAACTAATCGCGGGACGAAACTAAGAATATCACCTTACTTTAATAGTAGGTATAGATATAGATATAGTTAACGCGGTTGGCAAGCTGGTTTGGCACGACAGGGGACCAACGATGCAGAAAGATCAAAGGGAACGGGCAATTTAATTATAGACTGAAAAGCACATGCATGCTTTGCTCTCCATTTCCATGCTGCTATATATCTCCCGTTCCACTAGAGAAGTTGCACCTCAGACCAAACATACATACACGAGTGTGGAAATGCATAGGCGCGTACGTAACACCGATCCATACCGGCCTTCCGTGCTAACATTGCGGACTGCAGTTTGGCTGCCTCACCAGCATGTAAGGCATTTCTAACCTATCCGCTGTATCAACTTAGTGGACTATATTTGGCTTTTTACTCCATTAAGTTTGACATAACCGCTCCCCAAAACAGCTTACTGGAGTATAATTTTTACTCCTTTCCTATCCGCCGGAGTATATTTACTCCTTCTCTTCGCGACCGAGCAAAACCGGCTATTCTCGCCGTTCGCCCGATCCACCCGTCGCCGCGCCCCTACGCCGGTTCGAGGACTTCCCCATCCTCCCTCCGCCCGGCCGCGCGAGGACCTACCTCGGGGTCCGGCAGCGGCGGTGGGGGACATGGGTGACCGAAATCACCGATCGGAAGACCCACACCCGGCGGTGGCTCGGGAACTTTCATATGGCCGAGCTAGCGGCCATGGAGTACGGCCGCTGGCAGGTCCGCTACGACGGCGCGGTGGCCCGGCTCAACTTTCCCTTCGGCACGGCTCCGGTCCACCTCGTCCCGCCGGAGCCGGGGTGGTGAGCTCGACTATGGCCACCACGCCCCGCTGGAGCAGGGGGAGTTTAGTTTAAATTATGTTTGGTTGTGCAAAAATATCTATATTTATGTTTGAATGCATGCTACTTTCAGTTCAAATTGCTTTAAAT